CCTGCAGTGTTTTCTTTGAGAATGAATGTGATAAAGTTGGTAAAAGGAAAGAAATGAGTTCTAAATGCCTAGAAACCTTCTATCAATAAATTGCTTGTTAAGAATGTTTGACTAAAACTTCCTCCCATGAATACAATAAGCTCATTTGAATTTTTAAAATAGAAATCAGTATTTTAATTTTATTTATTTATTATTATTATTTTATATGTATGTACATTTTGGTGTGGGGACTTGAACGATCTCTTAGCTTTCTTAACTCAAGGAGCCACATCTCCTTCTAGCTTTATAATGATTAATTAGAGATATGAGTGTCCAGGTATTTCCTGCCTGGGCTGCCTTTGAACTATAATTCTCAAATCTCAGCCTCTTAACTAAGTAGGGTTACAGATGTGAACCCCTAACATACAGATGGAATCAGTATTATTATATATTCATTCTGCATAGGTTATTCAAAACATATACAGAAAACAGATTTATGCTGTAATACATATTTATTATATGTTGAAGACACAAATATTATTAACATTGCTTACAATGGCTATTACCTGAATCATTTACCTTAATGTTCATTATTCTCATTGCTTCTGTAATATAGGATATGTTGATATAGGTGGGATGGGTGGATAGTACTAGTTGTGTTTTAAATAACTCAGTGTTTTAAATGATTTTCTTATATGATCCTTATAAATATTTGTGAATAAAATGAATCCTCCTTTAAAAACAATATGAAAACTGAAAGTGAAAAACACTGAGTAATTCTCCAAGGACACAAAACGAGCAAAGAGTAGATTTTAGATTACAAACACAGAGTCTAACTCATGTTACCTGTGTGGGAAATGGGAAGTGTTTCTCTTTTTGTATTTTTTATCCTGTTATTTGAAAATAAAACTTTTCTAAAATTTAATAAATAATATCTAAACATATACATAAACACACAGTCATAAGAACACTGGCTACACATTTTAGCCCACAGGTTTAAACCACACATTTACTGTGTTTAGTTATAAACTCTCTTGTATAAAACCCAATTGAATTTCTAAAAAAAAGAAAAAAAACTTGTAATTCTATTTCAGGTGGTACCAAGGATACTAAAAGAAATGAAATGCAAAGAATTACATACTGTGGGATTTGAGAATGATGAACAATAACATATCAATGTGACAAATAATTTTGTGATTGTAGGTGAATTTAATAGGTATGATGAAAAGCAAATATGTGAGGTTCAGTAGGTGAGAACAATGACTGATTTCTCCATGCCCTTTCATTTATCCCGTGAGCTTGTGATATAGTTCACCAAGGTGAACACATCTTACCAGTTTAAAAAAAAAAAAAACAACAAAAGAAACAAGCAAAAGCATTCCCCAAGCCCCTGATTTCATTCATCTCAGTCATATTTTCCTTTTCACTTTTTGTGACTAGAACGATTAGAGAAAGTCATGGCAACTAACATTTGCCAGGACTCATAATTTTATACTAATTATCAAAATTCCAAGAGTTTCCACATAAGTATTTACTAAAGGGAGGACTAGTAGAGAACCTGATTCATAATAAGTTTAACAGAAATGGCATTGTATCTTCTTTGAGGATCATGTTTCTCCTTTCAAAAGTGAACACATAAATCCAGACACTGGTTACTCAAGCCTGAAATCCTAGCTATTCAGGAGGCTGAGATCTGAGGATCATGGTTCAAAGCCAGCCTTTGCTGTAAAGTCCATGAAACTCTTATTTCCAATAAACCACCAGAAAACCAGAAGTGGCTCTGTGGCTCAAGCTGTAGAGTACTCGCCTTAACCTGAAGAGTGCAGGGACGGTGTCCAAACCCAGAGTTCAAGCCCCACGACCGACCAAAAAAGAAAACAGTGAACACACCTCCCTTTTCTTTCTATTACTTATACATGATTAAAGGCATATTTTGTAAGACACAACATTTAAGCCTGATGTTGCTTGATAACAACCATGAGGAAGGGCAGCATAAGAGTTGAAAAACAGAAAAGTTATATATACAGCAATCCAAAACAAGATTTATGATTAGTCTAAATTGGTGAAGATATACTGGGTGGAAGTTTAAAATATGCGTAAGAAGGATGATCATTTGAGGCATTGAGTTGAACAGAGATAAAATTAAAAACTTGTCAAATTTGAAGAAGAGCGATTAAATATTGTATCTGCTATATTCAATATGAGGCTGAGAGTGCAAACATGGTCATACTTTGACAGACTGTCTTCTGTTTGACTAAGTGAATATTTAAATGACAGGCAATTTGTTGTCACCTACTTACAATGGAGATGTTTTCCTTATTTGTTTTGGCATAACGCATTTTTCATGCAGCAAGTTTACGTGATAAAATCTATCTTAGGAAGGTATTTCTGCAGTTATTTGTATACTGATTAAATTAAGGTTAAAGAACTGGCAGATTTAATTTGAAAATCCAGGAGGGAAATAAAGGGATAAACTCCAAGCTTGCTGAGAGACAGGGGACTAGCTCAGCCCATCATAATAAATGAAAAATGGATCGCAGCCTATCCATAGAAAAGGCTGTCAGTTACTACTGCCTGACAAATTTAATATTCGGAAGCTGAGATCACAGAATCTTCAAAATATTGAAATTTTTGAAGTGCTGCATATTGACATGGTTAATTAAGCTACAAGATGTTATTGTTTAAAATGAGATTTTTTTCATGTCTTGCTTAGAAGTTGTTGAATATCTGTAAAAGTAAAAGCTCTCAAGGCTTTCTACTTGATGGATTAAAATATCACAGAAGTATCAAATTATAAGATATATTTTAGTTTTACTTTTACTTTTTTCACCTTTCCACATTTTAGTAGCATCAATTATTTGTAAAATGTGATTTTGTTTTGACATAGTTCTTGTACTGGAAAGATAAATATTCAAATGACAATTAATATGCAATTGTCAGTCTAATTAAAAAAGAAAAATTGTTTTTGTTTATATAGTTACATTTACTAGATGATTTTTGATATAAGCTCTGAAAATTGATATCCAAATATTTGAATATTAAAACCTAATTGTCAGAAATAGTAGCCAAGTTTCAACTGTCTTTTTTTTTGGGGGGGTCCGGTCGTGGGGCCTGAACTCTGGGCCTGGGCACTGTCCTTCAGCTCTTCAGCTCAAGGGTAGCTCTCTACCACTTGAGCCACAGCACCACTTCCGGCTTTTTTCTTATGTGGTGCTGAGGAATCGAACCCAGGGCCTCGAGCATGCAAGGCAAGTGCTCTACCACTGAGCCACCTTCCAAGCCCTCAACTGTCTTTTAGTCTAGGGAGATTTTTAAAAATAATGTTGCCTTGATATTTCCTGGTAATTTTCAGGGTATTCCAAATAAAGAAAACACACACAGAGATGCACACACACACACATGGATTAAAACCCTAAAATATGCCAAAATAAATCAAATGAGATTTCCTGGTTAGTCAAATATGGAATCTTGGTTATAGAATTATGACCACTTAAAATATATGGAAGGCATTTTTCTAGACAGATTTATGATCATATTATTTAAATTGCTCCCTGGCTTGCAGTATGGAGGCTCCTGTAAGGCACACAGATCATGGGCTTATTGAAATTTGGGGACTAAATAGATCACAGATTCAGTATTTCTTTGATCTTTGGCTTTAGTACCACAGGAATGGAGCTTTGTTTATACTGTAAATGTTATTAATTTAACTTTTTTCAAATTTTACTTTATAATTTATTTTTTTCTCTGCTGGTCCTGACGTTTGAACTCAGGGCCTGGGTGCTGTCGCTGAGCTTTTTTTAAAAAAATATATTTTTTATTGTAAAAATACTGTACAGAGGGGTTACAGTCACATGAGCAAGGTCATGAGTACATTTCCTATAAAGCATTTTTTCCTCCTCCTCTGTTTTTCCCCTACCCTCCCTGCTCTCTCACCTCCACAACTACACCCCCTGTCCCCACTCCCCGCCTAAATTGTAAATGATCACAAACAGGAACACACTAAAGCTACCAGCACAACATGCTGATGCAGAATTATTTACCATAGCTAAGATATGGAACCAACCCAGATGCCCCTCAGTAGGTGAGTAGATCAAGAAAATTATACACAATGGAATTCTATGCCTCCATCAGAAAGAATGACATTGCCCCATTTGTTAGGAAATGGCAAGACTTGGAGAAAATTATTTTAAGTGAAGTAAGCCAGTCCCAAGAAAGACTTGGAAAAAATTACATTAAGTGAAGAAGTGAAGTAAGGCAGGCACAAAGAAACATAGGTCCCATGGTTTCCCTTATTTGCAAGAACTAGTGTATGTTTGGGACAAGCAGAAAAGGTCAAAAGCTAGGTACATATGACCCGATAAGATGATGTTAAGCAAAATGAAGCCCACGATAGGGATACAAGTGTTTTTTTTTTTCTTTCTTGTTATTGTTCCTAATGTATTTCTAAAGTACCATGTGATTTTTTTTGTTTCTTTGTATGTTCCTCCCCCATGGTATAACCCCCTTTTTCACTGTATTTGATGTCGGTGCCCTACATCTTGTGTATATACTTCTCTAGCTTGGGGCGGGGAAAGGAAAAAACAAAATGCTTAAATAGGGATACAGGTTGACCCATTGTAACAATGAAATGTATAAGACACTATGTCAATTTAATTTTTATTTTGTACCTTTGAAAACATTTTTTGAATAATTCTTAAGTAGTAGTACAAAAGAGTTTCAACTCCACATGTCAATTTGTGATTATAATGAATCTTTATCCAGGTTATCCCTTCCACCATTCTCCCATCAATTCTTTATAGTAGCTCATTCCATATATACAACAGAGATTCCAGGTAGACCATAAAAACCTGGTGGTAATTTGTTCTCATATTACTAGCTCAGTGATAATGTTTTGTATCTACTTCTCAATGTACGTGAAAGTAGTGAAAACAACTTCGTGGGAAATATCCATAGTGATGCTTCTATTTCCTTTCTTGTCTAATTTAACTCATTTGCCCTGTTTTCAATGTCTACTTCTCTAGGACGGCAAGTCCTGTTCAATGAAGCACAAAGAGAGCCCACCAAAAGTCTCCATCACAGAGTCAGAGTCTGTCCCACAGGTATTTTATTTGCTATCCTCTTTTGGTTGATCCATTAGATTTAATATAGTTCCACCTTGCTCTAGGTAGAGCAGGATTTTGAAGTGACTGCAATAAGACAGTTCTTTTATGGAGCATCTGGCCTTAGAATGGCTGACCTCCCTTCCCTTAGATCGGTAGTTTGATTTTGTTGGGGTACTCCTTTTCCTTCTACCCTTCCAACCAAAACAAAAGAAAACAGAACTGAAGAGAAGAGAAAGCATGCATAATTTTTCTTATGCAATAGGGGTTAAAGAAGTATTGGTAAAATGGAGGAGGTAGAATAAAATACATAGACATCACAAAACAAACAACAAACACAACTCAAGAGCTTAATTCTGAGTTATCTATGTATTGTTTGCTAACTGACCAAAAATATGACATCATAGCGCTTTTAAGGTTAATTAGGAATAGATTATTCAGTGTTGAATGATCAAGTCAAAATTTTCTGCGTCGCATCACACCAATCTCTAGACAAAATATGTCTAGGTAGTAGACTTATTAAAAACTGTGTTACATTTATATCTGTGTAGATGTCAATAGGCCTTCATTGAAATGTAAGGATTTTTTCATAGTTTTTTATTTGGATTTCTTAATTTTACTTTAAAATATATTTGTCTTCATTCTCCTAATTTTCTGTTCTGTGTTGTTTGACAGAAATTGCAAGTGCCTCCTTGTTCTGAATGTGAGGTGAAAAAAGTCCCAGAAAAACAGTTAACCAACTTTCAAGGAATTCCAGCTAGAGAAGAAAAATTACTGTAAATTCCAAGAAGCTGTATCTAAAATATCCATTTGCTACTCTCTTCATAACTTTTTAGACTACAGGCTTGATGGAGATACTAAGTTTCTAAGCATGTAAATTTTTTCATAACTTTATATTCCACAAAATTCCCAAAAATTCCAGACCAATTTTGACCCAGAAGCAATAATCTGTTTGAAATTAATTTCTGTTCTCTTAAGTATTTCACTGACATCCATAAATTACTCACTATAAACTTGCTGGTTTGAAGTGAAATGCCACATAACATTTCTTGTTCATTTGGACACCTAAGCATTCCTAGGGCCTAGTCGTTGAAATTTGCTGGAGGATGATTTAATATTTAATCTAAGCTGCAATCTTGGCATATACCAAGCTGGTATGAAGATAAATAGAATAGATCCCCATCTCATAGTATTATTTGGAATTCTCATTATTTTGAACTAATAATTATTTTGCCTAAACAATGCCAATTCAATTTTTTCAATGATTTGAATAAATGGCCTGATTTCTGACAAGGTGATTTTTTTTATTTTTTTTTAATTTTTGGTTGCTTGAACTCTGGGCTTGGGCACTATCCCTCAGCTCTTCAGCTCTAGGCCAGCGCTCTACCGCTTGAGCCACAGCGCTAATTGGGTTTTCTAGTGTTTTATTGGAGATAAGAGTCTCATGGACTTTTCTGCCCAGGCTGGCTTTGAACCATGATCCTCAAATCTCAGCCTCTTGAGTAGCTAGGATTGCAGGCGTGAGCCACCAGCACCCAGCAAAGTTAATTTTTTTAAGGAAGTTCTATAGACACTCCCTTTATTTACACTTACTAGAATTATTCTAATTTAGGAATCAAGTTCCAAATGCCCACATAGTTTTTGACGTGAAGTTAGAATGTCAACCAAAGTAAGAATATAAAATAAAAATAAGCTAAATGGCCCTTTACATATTAAAAACAAATTTGATGAAAGTAAAATAAGTATCTGAACCAATAAATCCAGACTCACACTTTTTAAAAGACAATGTATTATTAAAATTTCAATGGCTGTTTTAATCTCTATAAAAAAATCTCATTAATCAAAATATGGCATTTGTAAATTGTCCAAAAGTAGCTTATGGTCAGAAGGAATTGACAATTCAATAATAATCTGACAAAAATCAAAGAATATCAAGCTTACAGAGCTGAAATGTTAAAAATCATATTCAGTTTGTTGGCACCAAGTGAATTCACATCTGCTTTTAAACATATTTTGCACAGGCTGAAGTAGAAAAATAACCATTGGTTTTATAGTGTGAATCTAATGAGACAATATCTGGACCAGTATATCCCAAAAGTGAGTTACTAAAAATATATTCAGTGAAATATATTATCAAAGCTGAGGTTAATTTCTGAGATAGACTGACATACTTTTGAGCCAGTGACATTTTCCAGGATATGTAATGATTTATTGTTGGAAAATATTAACAGCACCTAAAAGGAACAGAGTGCTATATTTATGTAGGAATTCTATTTGCAAAGTAATTCGTGGTTCTGTATCAGCATTTTTTTCATGTAATAAGCTGGCTAAGAAAGAAAGTAAAGTAGTTTTATAGAGGATACACAGAATTTCCAGATAAAATAAACCAGGATGAAATAAATGATCCAGGTCTAAAGTTCCTGCTGATTTAATTCCACATTCATTCAATTCTGCGAAACAGACTATTACTCATCTCCCAAGTCCTGTGCCTTGTAATTTTACCACTGTATGAGGGTACCCTTTCTCATCTATTCAGACTTTCAAAGGGAAACAAGTAATTTAGTTTCCCACTTTGCTTTGGATGTTAGCTTTTCTCTGAGTCTCTCTGGATCCTACAGGAAATCTTTCACCATATCACTTAACATAGCATGTTCTGAGGTATTTGTAATTGTTTTGTGTGATACTTTTGATAAAGGAGAATTTGGCTTAATATTAATTGTGTTTGAGTAACTACATTTGTTTATTTTGTCTGTACTCTGACATCCTATTCTAGCAAATGACAATTTAAACAATTTGCTTTTCTTATTTCTTGGCATGATCAAGTGGTCTTTGAATCATCATATTTTATTTCTCCTTTAATCACAGGCAGCCTTATAGCATTGTGCAGTGCTTATTGTGAAATATTTATCACATACTTGTTCACTGTCTTCCCTAAAAAAAGAACTTATAACAAAGGGTGTCTGTGTTTTAAAACTATAATGGGATTTTTTTTGTAATTAACTAGTGTATTCTTTTCCATTCTAATAGATGATTCTTCCTAATGAATACATTTGTCTCTGGACACTTTAGTTGCTTTCAAACAGAAACTGAGTTTTTAAAATGTTTTTCTTATATGTTATAACTTTTGTCTATAAGACAAGTATAATTTTTGATTCTTTGTTTTATTTTATTTTAGAGTCTAGGCACTGTTCCTAAGTTGTTTTATTCATGGCTAGCTCTCTACCACTTGGGTCACAGCTCCACTTTGGCTTTTTTGTGTGTGTGTGTGTGATGATTTGGTGGTAAGAGTCTTCTGGACTTACCTGCTCAGGAAGGCTTGGAACAATGATTCTCAGATCTCAGTCTCCTGAGTAGCTAAGACTATAGGCATTAGCCACTCAATGCACAGACTATTTCCTTAACAATCAGCTTTTTGAGGAATTAATATTCAAGCCCTAGCTACCTTTTGATATAAAAAAAAAACAAACTTAAATGCTGGCAATAGGTGGTGTGATTTTAATCACTCTAATGATAACTAATGAAAGACTAGTTAACATGTTGCTGAGTAGAACTGATTCCAATTGAGTAGCAACTCCAACATTTTGCAATTATACAACTTTTTTTTAATATAAGTACTAATAGAACTAAGAGACATTTTATTTTTCTCTAGTTTTTTTTAGTGCTACTTGAATTTCATAATGCTCATCATATACCAACTATTCACTCCTATAGAAATTTGGAAATCTATTTCCTTCCGAGTTCATTAACTATACAAATTCCTATCTAAAATGTATATGGCTTAACGAATTCTGACTGTAATTTCCCTAGTACCTACATGCTCTGAACAAAATGAATGATTTCAGTCCATGGTATGGATGAATAACTTTCTTCATCCTCTCAACTACCTTCGTACTGAAAACTACTAGATGGCTAACTCTTCTTTTCATTTTTAGTCTCACAATGCTATTTCAGTCACAATTCTTTCATAAAATATATTTGGAGGACTTATTTACTGTTTTAGGTGGACAAATGCAAATAGCCGGACTGAATGAAAACAATTTGTGAACTTTGCTATAATGAAATCTTTTATTTTTATAGCTCAGGTATTGTAATTAACAATTAACTGAATCCAGAGGCTGAAATAAGTATTGATACCATACATTAAGGTGAGCTAGACAGACCTGGAGAGTAATGGAAAAGTATATGGCTTACATAGGGGATATTTTGTTACCTGTGTATGCCACATTATATCTTCCCCAACTATGTATCCATCCGGACTGTATTGTATAATGCTGATGGTCAAGTATGATGAATAAAAAATGTTCAATAAAAGTTTATTATCACTACTATGTTATATATTACCCACAAAATGTTCAATAAAATTTTATTATCACTAATATGTTTTATATTACCCACACAGAGTAATTTTGAAAAAAAATGTGAGCAGTAAAACATAGTGTCTGATTCTGTGAATTAGAAGCCAATTAATTTTTTGAAGTGTTATTCTGGGAGTTTCCTTAACCTTAATGATAACAACCCAGAAATATTTTATTTTATTCAATGTTCATTTATTTTTGTATTTGTTTTAAATAACATGTAGCCAGATGCCGGTGGCTCACACCTGAAATCCTCACTATTCAGGAGGCTGCGATGTGAGGATCAGGAATTGACGCCAATCCTAGCCAGAAAAGTCACTTTGAGACTCTTATCTCAACTAACCACTCAAACACCAGAACTGACACTGTGGTTCAAGTGGTAGAGCACTAGCCTTGAGCACAAAGAGGGTGAGGGAGAGTCATCCAGGCCCTGAGGTCAAGCTCTACAACCAAAAGAAATAAAGAAATAACATACATGACATGCATTATTAAAGTTTATTACTCCAAATTGAAAAAAAATCTGTTTATTTTAACCTTACAATATGTTTATAGCAGAAGTATATAGTGTGAAATGACTTTATCAGCTAGTGAGCACATTGGGGATCTCATATTAACCACTGGTCCTTGGCATGGCCTGATATCTCAAGTCACTCCAATATGTTTGAATAAACACCAGGATATAGCTTCTGTAGTAGCAAACTGCTAATCATGAGGCCCTGAGTTCAATCTGAAGTATTGCCAAAAATTTTTTTAAATGTAAATATGTGTTGAATGATTTTTTTTCAGGTGATTCTGATATAGTGAAAGAGGATCTGTGTATAATGAGGGGCAGTTTGAGGAACAGATAACATAGGGAATATTTTAAATTCACTATTTAATTCCTTAAACAAATCCTACTGAAGGAGATGTTGCTTAAATATAATTGAATTTCTATGTTTTATAAATAGGATATTTATGTAGTTGTTTTCTTGTGTGTGTGTGTGTGTGTGTGTGTTTGTTGGTCGGTCATGGTACCTGAATTCTAGACGTGGGTACTATCCCTCAGCTCTTCACCTCAAGGCAAGCGCTCTACCTCTTGAGCTACAGCGCCACTTCTGGTTTTCTGACTTGTTTATTGGAGATAAGAGTTTTACGGACTTTTCCTTCCCAGACTGGCTTTGAACTGCGATCCTCAGATCGCAGCCTCGTGAGTAGCTAGGATTACAGGCGTGAGCCACCAGCACAGGGCACCCAGCAACCATCCCCCTTTCTGAAGACAGTATAGGCTTTAGAATAAGGGATCATGTTTGCAGCTCTCCAGATTTCTCAGGCAGAGAACTTCTTGATCTTGGTTGTACTTGCATGAAGCCTCAGAGGGATTTCATAAATTATCCTAATCATGACTAAACTATGTTTTGTTTGGGAAAATGAGGGTAAGTATACTTG